GAAATAAAGAGTTAATTTTAAGAAAGTTAAACAGGGGCTAAGTTGTTTTATGCCATTTGAACAATGTGGTTAACTAATGAAAATTTTGAAGATAAGAATGACATGAAAAATCGTTAGAAACATGATTGTTATAATGAGCAAAGACTAAAAACTTTTTTAAGTACAATTATAATGTGGTGCAAGAAATAAAAAGTGTGGTATTAATATAATTTAAAAATAATAATAAGAACATCTCTGTCACTCTTGTATCTTCACCCTCGATCTTATTTAAGCAGCACTTTGCCCCCAGGGCATATCTCCCAGTGGCAAAGGGGAGGGTGGATAGGGCTCAGCGCGGCAGTGTGCAGAGTTCGATTCCCCGCAAGGTGGAATTGGCTTTGTTGCAAGCGGGAGTTACCATATGGGTTAACAACCTTGGCCTATCCATATGCTCTCCACCCTGGCTCCTGGGAGGCACATCCCGCGATTTACCTCCTCTACGATGGCCCAGAGCAGGGTCGGTGGAGGCTCTTAAGGTTTGGGTTCAACCTTTTTTTTTATTTAAGCAGCACTTTACTTGGCGTAGAGGCCCAACTCAAATTGATGTCAAGCCCAGCAGAGGCAGACCAGTTATCAATTCACTCTCGATTTCGCACGTGGAATCACATTTTATTTAGTTATTTATTTATTTGCAAATTTTAAAAATGTTGTGTATCATGTTTGTTGTGCTAAAAATCCTTAAGCGGAGGATATCGTAAACAAGTAATAAATTGAATGTGAATTCAAGTATCAATCCCATGAGTACTAAGTATTTTTTTTTTTTTTTTTAGTTTCAATTAAATATAACTTTAATCGTATAGCAAAATTAGTTGGGATGTTTTATATTAACGAATTAAATGTACAATTAATTTAACTAATTGGCAAGCATGGTATTAATACTTTAATTAATGAACAAAAACTAGGATTTCGATTCGTTCTACATTCATCCATTTTAATATTGATTCAAGACTTAGATAACACTTATTTGGATTTGAAAATCAATATTTATAATTTATTTAATAATCTTAGTTGACTAGAATTAAACACGTCTTTAAATATGGTTCTCTTATAAAATAATATTATATGTAAATTCAAAATTTATTCTTATTTTTTTGACCACACATTCTTGCAAAAATTACTATTTCAAATCACATTTTCTCTCCAATATATATATATATATATATATATATATATATTCATTTTAATAGAGCCCAAACAGGGGTTAAATCCATGTCAAACTGTACAATACTTGTTAATAAGTGCAATAATTCTTATTCATCTATACTATATTAAAATATTACAACACGGAAGAATCATTTTTTTGACGATTTTAACCCTCTTGCAATTCAATTATTTAAATAATGCCATACTTTTTATTTTTCGATATGTTATAAATATTACAAAATTATTGTCAGTTATGAAATTTGTGCTATTAATTATCAATTAATTAACATTCACATTAATTTAGATTCAATGAATGTTCACTTGATGAATTTTGAATTATATGAATCTAGAGTTATGATAGTGAATTTATTCATATTCATGTATCCAAAAATTTTAATGGGCGTTTAAATTTATGTACTAACAATTAATTTTTATGTATCAAATGTAATATAAAAAAGATTGCTCATTCATAATATTTCATCATTAAAAAAAATTTGAATCATAGAAATTGAGTTTTGAGAGTACAATTTGAGTATAATTTTATTCTCTTAAATTTCTATACTAAATTTTATTTTCTTTAATTCATTCAAAATTCATCAAATTCTCCAACAAATTGATACCAAATATTACTTTTACATTACTTATAAAGTTATTAGAATAACGTGCAATGCATGTTCAATTTTGACTAGAATATTAAAATATCCCAACATGCGAGAATCACTTTTTTGACGATTTTAATCCTAATTCTCAATTAATTAACATTCACATTAATTTAGATTCAATTAATTTTCATTTGATGAATCTTGAATCACATGAATATAAAGTTATTATAAATGAATTTATTCATATTCATGTATTCGAAAATTTTAATGGGTGTTTAAATTTAGGAAAAGTTTACATGTACATAATTATTGTACATAATATTGTTCATAACGTGATGTGGCAATCATTCAGTTGTTAATGTGAATGTGTGATATTTAAATTAAAGATTGGATTCAGCGCCAAATATAATTATGTACACCATTATGTAGACAATTATGTACACGTAACACTTCCCTTAAATTTATGTATTAACAAATAATTTTTATGTGTCAAATGTAACATAAAAATATTACTCATTTATAGTATTTCATCATTACAAAAATTTGAATCATAGAAATTGAATTTTGAGAGTACAACTTGAGTACAATTTTATTCTCTTAAATTTCTATGTTAAATTTTATTTTCTTTAATTCGTTTGAGACTCATCTAATCTTCCAACAAATTGGTAACAAATATTATTTTTACATTACTTATAAAATATTTTAGAATAACATGCAATACATGTTCAACATTAACTAGTTCTCTCAAATGTCAAGAGAATTCACAAAATAAATCAACTAGTGATTAATTAATTGAAAAGGCATTGAACTCCTAACAATTAACATTCAAAACAAAACATATATTTAATGTCGAAATCTGAAAATTAATATCAAAACATAGATCCCAAAATCTATATCATTAGCCAAGCATCATATTCTTATGAAAATACAAATTAGATTGCTCTCTTCATTCTTCCAATTGATCATGTACTATCCAAATTATCTTCAATTAAAATCAAAATGTTTTTCTTTATGCCAATTACATCCAAATCCAATTGAGTAATTAATATAAAAAACTGACAAGTGGTTTTTGTTTTTAAGCTCACTTTTATCACCAAATCTCCACAATTTTTGTTTTACTATCAGCATCATCAGAGGTGTAGATAAAATCAAGGCCTGCCTCCAGGCCCAATTAAATTTGTTAGGCTAAAATAATTTTTTTAAAGGAAAAAAAATATTTTTTTTCTAGTGGAAATGTTGTTATTGTTGTTGTCCTTCATTCGGTTTGTTGTACATTTTAATGTTGTTTTACATATTTCAGTAAAACACGGCTCTACATCCCCCCCCCCCCCCCCCCCCTCAACGTATTAGCCCTATATATATAGCCCTTGTCTGAGCCCTATTCTCGACAAAAAAATTATATTTTTAAATAGTGTATTGTTGAGAAATGTGTAGTTAAAAAATAAAGAAAAATTTTGAATTTTGTGTGTAATATTATTTTAATTAAGAATGTGGGGTTTGGATGTGATCATTACACTGTTAAGAATGTATTTTGATGAAAATATTGGGGCTCAAATATGAGCATAATTTGGTAACTAAATTTTTCGTCATCTTTTAAAAATTTATAAAGAAAATTCTTAATTAATCTAATACTAGAAGTCATGTTCATATTTTATTTTCCAAGTGACGAGAATTTTCTGTGTAATGTTTGTTCTAATTGTGGAAAATGATTCATATTTGGTTCACATCACATGCAGTACAAACTCGGTGTTGACATAACTAATCTGAGCTTTCAATCATTCAATGTAACGTTATGTTTATTTATACTTTATTTAGTTGGTGGACCAAATTTGTTGTCACGATAGGGACGGATCCGATCACTATTGTCCTTTATCATACATTTACTATTTTTTGCTCTCGGGGAATGGTTCAATAGTGTAAAAGACAGGAGTAAGGTTATCTCACGCCTCACTGCCAATCGCAATGTGGGTGTTCGATTTTCGAGACATAGAATTGAACTCTTTATAGGAACAGTGTACGAACAGCTCTTGTTTCCTAACCTGTTGGGGGCACATCTTGCGATTTACCTCTCTCACAAAACTTCAGGGACGGGATGGTGGGGACCTTCAAGGTTGGGGTTCCATTCGAACAAGATTAACCATAGAAATATATAAAAAAGGGGGAAAAAAGATTTTAGCTTATTTGGTTTCAATAATATTAGAGATGAACATTTTTACTCCTATTTATTCGACTTTGACCTAATCGAACCAATCCATCGATCTAATTTCTAGTTAAAATAAATTCGATTTTGAGTCTTATAATTAGTAACTGAATGGTCTCAATCCCTTTTAGATCTGAATGAGATTTTAATTAATGTGAGATTGCGCAACTTGATATGAGTTACATTGTGTAGCATCTTAAGTCGGAAAATTTTTTAGAGTGAAAATAATAGAACTTTGAATAATAATTTAAGCTTTAAAGTGACATTAAATGCGACCGATCAAATAACTACTTACTATTTGTTTGCATTCTTAAATTAATCCCTTGATCATTGGAAATTAAAATTAAAGCCAATAGTTAATTTCAAACATACATTTCAAGGGATCCACGTTTCATCATCTTTTATCAAAATTTACTAAAAATTTGATTTTAATCTTTGCAAAACAGGGAATAAGTATCATTTGTGCACATTAGATCCATCCACCATGTTTCGACATTGGATCCATCTCTTAGTTCCTCGTAATCATCTTTAAAACTCGTGAAAATTGTCAATCTATTTTGTATAGTAGTTAGTTGAGTCTGTCGTTATCTTAATTCATACTTAAAAGAGATATAATAAGATAAATAGTACTAGATTTTGTTTTATTTTATTGCAAGAGGCATAATAATTAAAAGGAAAAAGTACAAGCATTAAAAAATATTTTTATTTCCCCATTTGTAGTGATTCAAAAAATAATAAAAAAATGAAATAAAAAACAAGTAATAAATAGACACAAAATCTATTGCCAAAATTCTAATCTAATAATCCCATGTGAACGATTTCTTTTTTCTCGGCCGGCCCGGACCAGTGCCCTTTTTGTCGCTTCAACAGTGGCATGATTGGTAATAAACAGCTACAATCAATGGCAATATGGTCATATTTATTAAATTCCCTCTCTACCCAAATGTTTAAATGCAAGCTGTGAATGATAGCGACGGGCACCAATTATCAAAGTGATTTCGTTGCATTCAATTTCCCCAAATCGGCCCACAAATTCATATAGAAAGAAAAGGGATTGATTTATTATTTTTTTTTTCTAGAAAGAGGAAAGACCAAGACCATAAAGCGGAATTACCGATGGAAGTGGCGCAAGAAGGGGGCTATGTAAAGAAATATAGAGCTAATTGAGAAATATCCGAGTGTTTATTTACTCACTGTTATGGAAAGTTTTGTTTTCGAGTAAATCTATGAGTGTGGGGGTGGAGCTGAATATACATTGTTAATCTGGGATTAGGGATTCTTGGTTTTCTGTTCCCCCTCTCAAATTTTGTTATTATTGACTCTGTTTGTTTCTTGATATTTGGATGTGTTGTAATCTTTATTTAAGAAAATTATGTAGATTGAGTTAGGATAATTGATTCCAGTTTACTATAAGGACTTTACCTGAATATTCTTGTTTCCGGGGGATCATTTTTGAGTGGGGTTGAAAGAGGATGGGTTGCTTTTCTTGCATGAGGCCTCGACGTAAGGATGTCAGAGATTATGAAGAAGACATGACCCCTCGATACACTGGTTCTTCAGGTTCTTTATTGTTCTCCATGGATTTATGTTTGTACTGGATAAATTGGTAAATGAAATGGTTTTGTTTAACGTGCTTATATTTTCTTCTTTTAATCAATTGAGACTGTTGAGATGATAAGTACATGTACAATTTTGAAATATGACGATATTCTTATGTGGGATTTTGATTTATGTAAAATCAAATTTTGTAGGGGGTAAGAAAAAAGAGAATTCTGTGAGAACAAAAGGTAAAGAAGGCAATGTAGCCCGTAGCTTCCAGTTCAAGGAACTTGCAATGGCGACACAGAATTTTAGGGATGCTAATTTGATTGGGGAAGGTGGTTTTGGAAGCGTTTACAAAGGCCGTCTGGAGTCTGGCCTGGCAAGTTCTCTGTTTTCTCACCTTATAATTTGGATTTTGTTAATATATCCTTCAAAATGATGATATATTCTTTTATTTTTTTTTTATATATTTTTTTTTTAGTAATACGAAAATGCTAAAAGAGTTTTGGTCCTAATATAGATGATATATGGAATTTGGGAGTTCAATTGAGAGAAATTTGTAATTTTGCTATTCACGTTATTGACACTTCAAGTAATTCTGGTTGTTTGGTTTTCATGAATAGATTGTTGCTGTCAAGCAACTTAATCATGAAGGCCTTCAGGGGAATCAAGAGTTCATTGTAGAGGTCCTGATGTTAAGTCTGCTGCATCATACCAATCTTGTGAACTTGATTGGCTATTGTGCTGATGGTGACCAGAGACTCTTGGTTTATGAATACATGCCCATGGGTAGCCTGGAGAATCATCTTTTTGGTAATCCTTAATGATAATATATATCCTTATTAAGAGTCTGAATTCTCTCTCTGTTTTTCTTTTAACCAAAATGAAAATAAAAACTTGGCTAGTATGCTGCGATGCATATCACCGTTCACAAAAACAAAATAAACTCGGATTAAAAGGAAAGCCTAGCTTTCCCACCTCGCTAATTCCTATTAAGGCCTCAAGGGCATTGAACATTGATAAAAATATCCATTGGAAAGAGTTGGTACTCCCTCATTCTAATGGCAATTAGTTCGCAGCCCATGAATTCTCTTTGGGGTTTTGCATTTGTGTCATTCAATATTCATGTAATCTTTCCCCCAATCCGGTGATTGAACTTGGTTATGAGTCTTAACACAAGAAAAACGACGATGACCCTACATCATTACTTGAATCTCTTCTTAATCCATCTTAGTGTCCTATTGTCCAATTTATCTTTCCTTTTCTCTGCCCTGGGAGAGGGAGGGGGGGGGGTCCGCTCATTTTCTAATTTTTGTTTTTTCTAGTCTGACGTGCAACTTACTCTCTACATTTGAACTAATTTTCCTCTAAGATGCCCTTTGAGTCACCGTTGTGAATGGTTGAATGATTTATGTTTTTTAGGCTTATTATAGCAAATCAAGATGCTGAATGATATATGTTGTTCTTCTATCAGAAAGTTTGGCTACAGTAGAAAAGCCTATAAATACCAAATTGTGAATTAAGAAAACATTTTGAGCACAGTTTATTTTTGTTTATCTGACTTGTCTTCTACATGTGCTTTATCTCAGCTATTCAGATATATGTTTATTGAAGTGTGTTTCTTCCCATTCTCAGATATCAAGTCTGGTCAGGAGCCACTTAGTTGGAGCATAAGGCTGAAGATTGCTGTTGGTGCAGCTCATGGCCTTGAATATCTTCATTGCAAAGCGAATCCTCCTGTCATTTATCGTGATTTGAAATCTTCCAACATATTGTTAGATAGTGACTTCAATGCCAAGCTGTCAGATTTTGGACTTGCCAAACTGGGACCTGTTGGTGATAACACTCATGTTTCAACACGAGTGATGGGAACATATGGATACTGTGCCCCTGAATATGCTATGAGTGGGAAATTGACTCTAAAATCTGACATCTATAGCTTTGGTGTGGTTATGTTGGAGCTGATCACTGGACGCAGGGCTATTGACACCACTAAGAAGCCAGGAGAGCAAAACCTGGTTGCATGGGTGAGTTTCTATAACCTCTAGTTCATGATAACTCCATATGAAATATATTTCTGGGGGGACTAACGGGAACTGTCAAATAGCTATAATGAGTAGGATATAAGTAACCTATGCTAATTTATCTGTTATACATGCTACTCTCATCCCTCAAATAGAGATGAAGTTACAAGAGTGAAATATCTTTCATGTAGACCCGTAACAGATGAATATTACCTTGAGTGAATTGTGGGGGATAACTGATGGACCTGTACCAGATGAATTTTACATTGAAGACGGGAACTGTCAAATAGCTATAATGAGTAGGATATAAGTAACCTATGCTAATTTATCTGTTATACATGCTACTCTCATCCCTCAAATAGAGATGAAGTTACAAGAGTGAAATATCTTTCATGTAGACCCGTAACAGATGAATATTACCTTGAGTGAATTGTGGGGGATAACTGATGGACCTGTACCAGATGAATTTTACATTGAAGTGTAACCATAGTACCCAACCGTTGGAGTTATTTTCTTAGCACAAGAGGCCTCTATAAAATGGTTTCCATTGAAAATTGTCATTTTATTTAGTGAAACTAAAATTTTTACCTAATGTTCAAACAACTAAAATAAATTAAACAAAAAAGGAATAGGAAAGAAGAGTGTAAAAAGGCCTGAATGGATCCTTATGTTTCATTCTAACAAATCCATTTTTGGAAGTCCTTTCCCCGCTGGGGAACCCCTGCGCCATAGATGATTCATACTTGTGCGACTTTCATCTCTGTGTCGTTTCTTGGTAAGATATTTGCAGTGCAATTAGATTTAGGACTTTTGTGTTAAAATGTTTTGAGAAATGGAGGTTTAGATGTTTTCAAGTACGTATACAGGTTAGTAGAGACACCTTATTATTGTTTATGGAAGCTAAGCTAAAATGTTTTATTGGAAGAGTTTAACTGCTTTCTACGGCACTTATTTGGGACTTGGGAGCAGGAAGCCAATTAAATAGCAGGGAACACAGCCCCACTAATTGACTAACAAAAGAAGTTACCCCAGGAATGTGAGATCCCTGTGTCCATGTCGTTTGTATTCATTGAAGACCCTAAGTTTCTGGTTTGGTCCAACTTGGGAAGCCATTTTAACCTAAGAAACATTCAGGGCCAGGGATGGGGTAGGATGTAGCAGTGTGCACAGGGGATGACAAAGGGTGTGGGAAGGGGTCAATGGTGGCTGGGTTAGTTTTTCATTTTCATTTGCTTGTATTTTCTTTCTTCTTTTACTTTTTGAATTTATATTTTTCTTATTTAAATGGGAGGTAAAATTGTCTTTGCTGTCATTTAACTACTTTTTTTGGATGAAAGCCATTGTAGGCAAATTTGCTCAAATGTAGGTAGGGACTCCAATGCCAACAATCCTTAAACTGGAATACTGTCTTCTCATATTTTTACATGAGATCGTTTTCAGTTTTATTAGGAATGAAATGGACTTCAAGACCAGATTTTTTTCTTTTTATTATTATTACTATTTATTTATTTATTTTCCAATGGGTTCAGGCATAGTTCAATCTTTTTTCAAAGGATAGCTAAATTGACCAATGCTACACTTGTATAGTTCTATTGGCAGTCTGCGATTTAAGTATAGGAAATAAAATTGCTTGGGGTAAGTTTGTGGTAGTTTGAATAGTTACAGGCATTATTAACCCCACCCCAACTCGCCCATGTAAACTTGGGAGCTATGGCCATCATGCCCTCCATTGTACTCAATTTCCCAATATATCTACTAAGTAGGGGATAGCACTAAACCCCGACTAAGTCTTAAGAAGGAGACCTGAAAATCCCTTCTTAGGACTCAGCCCCTGTTTGACAGCCATTATTCAAACTATTTTTTCTACATACTCATTTTCAACCACACATTCACGTAATAAATTATTTGGGACGTAAACACAATATTTTTCCATACTTTTTAACCACATATTCTCCAAAAATTCACTATTCAAACCTTTGTTTTTGCCAAATAGTGCCCATCCAACACGGGCTAAGTGATTTAAATGTAAAATCTTTTCTTCTGAACATTTTTATTTTCCTTGCAGTCTCGTCCTTTTCTAAAGGACCGGAGGATGTTTGTCCAAATAGTGGACCCTCTATTAGAAGGTTGCTTTTCAGTCCGAAGTCTGCACCACGCAGTTGCAATTACAGCAATGTGTCTTCAGGAACAAGCAAGTTTCCGCCCTCTTATCAGTGATATTGTTATGGCACTTGAATTCCTTGCTGCTCAAGCAGATAGCTCGGATTCTCATAAAGGTGAATATCACGCTTGAACATCATCATCACCATCACAGATTGATGGTAAACTAGATAGTAGAAGATGAGCTCTGTAAAATGCTCAACTTCGAAGTTTTTATATCAATCAGCTCGACTTACAACTGTCAGTGGGGGTGCTCATCAATCTATCCATCAGGTTAGAAATGACGAGAAGAGGTGGTAATGTGTGATCCATTTTCATTTGATTGCTATTCAAAAGTTGCTCAAAATTTTATACATCTTTTGTAGCTACACGACTGTAAATAATTGTTAAAAACTGTTTGGGGGATCAGTTAAATCTTGTGAAGTGCTGCTAACAGTTTTTTGGGATAATTTGTTTTTCCTTGGAAAGAAAGTCTATATAATCCATTGGTCCTTTAATGAGTACAATAGCCAGAAGGTTTCTTTGTTTTATCGTTGTGATTAGAATAATGCTGTTTTACTAAATGTTTATAACATCTTGGATGACAGATTAAGTTGTGGCAAAAAATGATTGTATGATAATGTTGACTTTTTTCAAATAGTACAAGGAAAAATGCCAAACAAACATAATGGTTGACACAAAAGATGACACCACACTCACAACTGAGGCGTGGGTCTCACTCGAATAAAATAATGTCGACCTTCCCATGTGTATGTTATGTCAACCGTTGTGTCAACCATTGTGTTCGTGGAGTACGACCCAAATTCTATTTAAAATATTATCAATTTATTTTAACAATAAATAATTTTAGTAGAAGCTATTCATATTAATTTGAATTCGAGCTGAAACAAGCCCTACAGTGGGATTCAAACAAAGGGGTCTTGGTTATTTATTTTTGATAGCAGCATTGAAGTCCATATTACTAAAAATAGCATTTGAATGTTTTGGTCAAAGTTTCTTTTCTAAAATCTTTGAAGGTGTTGATTTTCAGAAGTGTCAAGAATAGAATGAGTGTCTTAATCCTAAACCAGTAAACATCTTGGCCAGCTCTAGCATCGCTTTCTTCAACTACTTAAGAAATTTGCAGCTTAAATTGGTTGCAAGGACAGATTTACAATTTATAACTTTCAGTCGTGGACAAGTCTTATATTTTGGTTATCACTGACACATTCTTATTTTGAAAGTGTTATCTTAATTTGAATGTTTTGACCTGGGCAAGGGAGAAGCATAAAAGTTAGTCCTTCTTCGATGACCCTTGGCGTCATTAATGTCTTTTCTTGCTGTAGTGTGAACTAAAAATTTACAAATTGACGAGTTTCTAGATATTTTCATAGTAATGTATATATAAGCGCGTTATTACTATTTCTAACTCTAGAAAAACATGTTTGTAACAATTTATTAGGTATAGTCTTATATTACAATAAATTTGATTAAAATAATAATGTATTAAAATATCCAAGTTGAAGATAAACAATTTAATACTCGAGTCAATTTATGAGCGAGCAAGATAGTAATTGTTACGTAGTACAAAATCACCTAACTTATCCCTAATTAATGCATATGCATGAATTTATTAATGGAGTCAGAATTTATTTATTTATTATGTCAGAATTAACTTAAGCAATGCATCTTTTAAATTGAAAAGCAGTTAAACTGTGAATTTAAACTACCGAATTGCATATGATTACTAGAAATGAATTTAATAAACTAATTTTCTTTTATCTAGTAATTTGCATTTTCAATGCTAAGTTCTTCATTCGTCGACGTATGCTCTTGGTGCTGTGTTGGAATAGTCATGATAAACTTCACAATGCATCTTTCGGATTCAAAAATCAAATGACGATTTTAGAATTACAAATCAAAGATAACTGCTAGAATTAAATTTAATAATTTAATTTTTTTTCCTTTTCATACTTTGATTTAATTAACACATGATGAAATTTTGTGGTGATATCATGAGTACCTTAATACGCCAAAAAAAAAAAAAAAAAAAAAAAGGTTTGAACCGTGCTAAACACCCAGGATGAAAAATAGGCTAAAAAATAGGGGTGACACGTGTCATCCTACAATTGGACAGATTGAAAAATCAAATAAAAAACACCCAACTATTTGCCGTCATCTCAGTCTGTCTCCTCCTTCCCCCCTTTTTAACCCTAACTAACTGACTTTATTGAAATTTGAACACAAAAAATCTTGGGAGGGAGCATTTTAAATGATCTCTTCTTGCGATGTTAGCATTTTAAATCACAAAAAATAGTGAACCAGAAAGTGTTTTATACTCTTTCTTTTACACAAAATTTTAATGCAAAATGATATATAAAATGTAGGGCATAACAGGAAAGATATCGAAGATAATTAAATTAATTATGCAGAATATAAGGATCTTTTTAATAATAAGTCAAAAGTTGTGTTCAAAAGACACATCTCATAGGTTATGCATATCCAAAAAAGGCATGTCTTTCATAGGAGAATTAGCTCAAGCGTCATTTACTAAGTGATAAATCAGGAATAATTAACCAAGAGGTTGTGAATTGATTGTTAAAAGCTTTTTCAATAGAAAATCTAAATTTAAACAAATTTGATAGCAAGTCTATAAAACAAATATGCACAAATACGAAAGCAATAAATAAAAGAGAAAATGATGTAATTGTGGAGGTTCGATCCCAACCAATGATCTACATCCTCCGATATCAAGCTTTCTGTCACAAGCACTGCCTTTTTCACTTATTAATTGACTTGTGGTACAATCCAACCATTTATAACGCTTTCGTTGACTTACAATCAAGTAGCACCAATCCTTATATAGTATAGAGTTTCACGAGAGCTCTATATGATCCACAAATTCGAAAAGTGATAATTTTACATTTGAAAATTCTCTCTCAATAAATGATATAATTAAAATTGAGTACCAAGAGATGAGTACTTGTCTTGATTGATTTGGCGTCCATGCTCGGTTTTCATTGCATCCTTTTTGTCTTTAATTGATGAACTTTGCCACAATAGCTATAATGACTCGAATTCAGTGATTATAAATAAAAGCAGTTTGTTTGTTATAATCAAAATGCAAAATCAGCATAGGTCAACAATTTCCCCCTTTTAGATTATGACAAACAAAAGATGATTTTCAACAAGTTTATGAAGGAAGGAACATGTTAGATATCACATATAATTCATATATCCCCCCTCTTTCTTATACAAGTCAAGCATGCATTTCATCTTATGTTTTTCTCTTTTTGGCATAAGCAAAATGAACAGAATGACACGAATCCAAGTGCACAATCATAGATCAAAGAATAACAATAGGCACAAGTTATAAAAGAGATTTCATTGAAGATGCCAAATACAAAACTAAATACCATATTTTAGAGTAATTATAATGAAAGAATAAGCTAAGACTAGGGCTCCGGAGTCGATGGCAGAAGGAAGTGGGCATAAAAGTGAGCATAGAAGATATTTGCATCGTCACCTATTGTGCTTGTAGGGCATCTTGTTATACTTGTATTGTGGCCTGTTGAGCCTACAACCGATGAACAAGTCTACCAAGGTCTTCAACGGATGATGTAAGTAAATCGATTCGCCTGTTGAGAAGGTTGTAATGATCCTCGGTAAATGTGAAGCCACCTGTCGAGAAGGAGGAACACTCGAGCCTAGAATGTGTTGAGGGTGATGTGGAACTAGTGGTACATCTTCTGCTTCTTCTTCTCCATCACATTCAAAGGATAGGGTCAAAAGACCCGAGGTGCTATCGAACCCTTTTGTGGGATCCACCCATTGAACATGTTATTTTACTATTTTAATTCATTTGAGAGTTTGTATGTTAATAGTGTAAGTAAGGCAAAGTTTGACACACTTTCATCATTTAAAGGAATGTTAAAATGTTTAAAAAATTTCGGAAGAAGCATGTCATAGGGTAAAGCTTTAATATGGTGTGTAAAATGCATGAGCTTCATGAGACCTAATGCAATGGTCGAAAAATCTAATTTTCGATCGACAAGAAATGAATCGAGAATAAAAATATCAAAATAGTTAACTTTATCTTGATGCCCCTTCCTATGGAGAATGACATGTGCAATGATATTTTGTAAAACTTTGCATGGAAGGGTTAATTAATTTTCACTAAGTTTAATGATGTTTCCAAAATTATTTCCCGTGACTCGAAGGCATACTTCAGCTGGTCATATCCCTTCAACATGGGATGAGTTTTATGAGGAAAATTTTGAATTTCACACATCTCAAGCTTGAAATGTCTCAAATTAGAGCTTTGTTGATGATAATATGAACATTTTCAAGCAAATACAAAATCTCATCCAAACAGGGAGCAATAACTGTATTTTTGTAAAATTCTTTCATAAGTCGGGGCTATACATACTCTTCTAATGTTGCAATGGACACCCAACCCATTTTTTCAAAATATTATTCTATATGAAATGTGGGTGCTTCTATTGTAAAATCAACGAAATCAACAATTTTACCTATTAAAATGGATGATTTTTCAAATGGGTAACTCGGGCTCTAAGTCGAGTTCTTCATTGAACGAAGGTGGAGGAGAGTGCCTAACAGTTGTCTTGAATCGTTTTCCAACTCGTTTGGAACTTATAATGGTAGGGAATCGATAAAGTGGAAAGGAAAGAACAACGGGACTAGGATTCGAATTTACGGAGAGTTTTTGAAATTTTGTGGATGGTACTTTGAGTTTTTTGAGGAATGTGAGGTGTAGAAGTATTGGGTTTTTGGATTTGATGAGCAATCTATGAATTTGAAGGAAGGAATGAAGAGTATAGAGAGGATTTAGGGAGAGAAAACAGAGAGAAATGGAGAAAGTTTATGCGTCAAAAATTTTGATTTCAAGCTAGACCGACGTCCGCCTCACTTTACCAGACGTCCGAAATGAAGCTTCTGTCAAACCAAACACGAATTCCGAACGATTTGTTTGACTCGTCCGAACCACCATTTTGTGTTCTTTCCTTTTTTTTTAAAAATTAAACGTAAAGATAATGCGGTACAGAAATAAAATTTAGTATGCAATCAACTTAGTTATGCACGTTGGATTAATCAATAATGCCTAAAACCTCTTCAAATATGTGAGAATCAATCAATTGCAAGATGTTTTGTGAAGATGTCAGCCAATTGATTTTTCATATTCACAAATTTTAATATAATATCTTCCTTTTATGCATGATCTCTTAGAAAGTGATATCCAATTTCAATATGTTTTGTTCGAGAATGCAAAATGGGATTTTTAGACAAGTTTATGGTATTAGTGTTATCACACAAGATAGTTATATGATCAAATGACAAGTGATAATCACTAAGAGTTTGTTTCATCCACAACACTTGTGCACAACAACTAAAGGCCGAGGTATATTAGGCTTTCGACAGTAGACAATGCAACGAAATTTTGTTTCTCAATAAACCATTACACTAGTGCAAAGTCTAGAAAATGACATGTGCCGCTAGTACTTTTACG